ATTAAAAATTTGCTCTGTAATCATCGAACACTTATGGCAATGTAAGGTTGTGGTAACACGTCGAAATTATACACTGTGCCACCAGAAGGTGTTGATGAGACCCAGGCAAGGTTGAAATTCCGGCCCAGCGTGAATAAGAATACCTTTTGTAATGCAAATCTAGGTAAAATTCAATAGCATTTTGAAGCCTACTATAATGCCTTACTGATTGCCTCAAGATACACCTCCTATTAATATAAGCGGAGCACAATTGCACGCTCTTTTCTTGTTTTATATGGCATCTGAGGACTTTAGACATATGAGGTCGCTTAGGGTTACTTAATGATGGAGTTGCATTTTTATAATTAAAAAAGTGGGCATCATGATACCATTGCATTCTACATAGCCTTCTCTTCCGAGAGGCTTTCTTCTTCTGACTAGACTACAGTTTTATCCTTGCATAGGTCGCGTGACAATCCCCAAAGGGACTCGAAAATTGACCGTACGTGTCAAGAGACCTCAAGTCACCGAGTAAATTGCGGGAAAATTAAGCCATAAGTCCTTAAATAACCGTGGGGGACCTAAGGTGACTCAAGTTCTTATTAAAGAATTACTGATAATCTCGAATTACACTCACTTCAAAGTAGCTTAAGCATGATGTCTTCCGTTGAAAATGCCTGTAATAGGGCTTATTACAGATTCGTCGAGGTTGGCCGGTAGTACACCAAAGATGATCAGATGCGCGAATTCACGAAGCCAGGAAAAATATTCCCTCATTCTAAAAATATCTTCCTTAATGGGATCTGTAAAATACAATCTGAAACCTGGGGATTACCCGTAAATCAGACCACTCCGTCTACTTACGACTTAGTATAGTACGTACCTGTTAAGCTGCGTTATTTTATTCTGGTGGCTTTTCGAGATATCAGATTGTGGGTGGTATGCTGCAAGAATTTGGCTTGAATTTTCCAGATGCATAAAGGCCTTAGCGTAGTTCCCTGCTTACCTAGTCTATACCTCCCTTACTGTGTCATCCTACTGAATATTTATAGCTTTTTGCTCAGCTAAACAGGGCGGAGCAAAACATCCGACCAGAGAACTGACTTTGCTGCATAGACGAATAGAGATAGAGAGTATGTTTATAAATTCTTTGGCAAAGCTGAATGCTAAACGCAAGTATTGACCTTAGATGGCTGATGGAGGCGCTTTAAACGAGCTTTTGAACGATCTGCGCGGTAGGTTACATATATATCCTCCAGCTATTTCACTAATAAAATTGCCTTGATATGCCTTGTAGCTTAAAATTAAGGTGTATTACAACTCTCTGAACCATCAACTCTCCCCCTCCGCCTCCTCCTCTATGACTGGCAAGACTGGAGTTCCAACTGGACGCTGTCGTCAGATTGGCAACAAGTTCGGCAGCATGCCCACAGCCCAGCTGAATTCTCTTCATTCTACTGTCTCTATGAGGAAGCCTCGCACCAAGGATAGAATTCGGGTCTTCCGTGAAGCTACCGAACTATCGTCCACACCACTGTCAGCGGGTGGCCCAACAAATGCATCGGCCAAGGAAGCTGTCATTAATCCCAGAGCAAGCCATCATTCTGCGAACCGATTTCCAGATGCGGAAGGATGCCACTGTCGGCCCACTGTACATAATAGCTGCCGAAGTATCGCAACCACTACACACCACAAGTCAGCAGAGAGGGCTTTCAGACGAAAAAATACAAATAGAAATGATGTAGGGTCTCCCCAACAGCAATGCCGGCTTTCTGATGTACTCAGCCATAAAAAGAACTGTTTAGCTGGTCACCTGTTGCCACCACAGTTACCACAGCCATTACCGCTACCACTTATTGAGTCTACACCCATGCTTGCCCGACCGGGACCAGCCAGTGACTCCGAAATAGATGCCTACAGTCGATTCGTCTTCCCAGCTTCCTTCCTTCTTTTCAACTGCATCTACTGGCTTTATTATCTGGTCTTGGCCGATGACTACCCAGACATTGAGAAGATATAGCATCGAAAGCTCCCACGTTTGCTAACACCCTTAGCTACTTCCTACCTTTGTGCTGGACGTTATGGTTTGGTTTTCGAGCTTATGCTAACTGTGAAGGAAGATAATGAGATTTCCGCCAACAATTGTTGTAAATTGTTGCTCTAACCAGCTGTCATAAAGATCTACTGAAGACCTCGTCACAAGTTTATCCTCCACGTGGCTGGTTCGGCGCTGGAAAGTCGCGAAAGCAAATGAATTCGCTTCAGCCTGATTGGCACTAAAACGACTAAAAAGAGGAGCGTCATAGACATTTCTTTCGATATTTGTATATCCGGCCTTTCAATCTATTCTAGTTACAAACCAGAGACAAAGGAGGCACTTAAAACAATGCAACAGTTTATCTTCCTAACCTTATCACTTTGGCCTATTTCTTTTCTTTCCATGCCTCCATTGTGCTTTATAACCATGGAGATCATCGAAGAACATAGATTTTGTCTATCCGTTGATGCCATAAGTCGACAGTTATGAACCTTTTTAAGCCTTAAATCCTTCCTGACGAGTTATAAGCAAACATTATTTTGGTCTAATGGATCTAGAATATCCTAATTAAAGGTCAAGCGCCATTTTGCTTTTCCTTGAATTAGTTCGAGCTACAGGAAATTTCCATCCAAGACTCAACAATGAATTGGATCGACTACTGTGGGCTCAATGCTTAGCTTGTTACCAAAATTATGAAATCCTGTCTAGATTTAATTCGCTTTCTGTACAGGACTACAAGATTGTGAAGAAAATACGAGAAACTGTAGAAGAATCTTAATTGGCAGAACCTCTAAAGGAACTCTAGCCAAGATTTTGATTCCCACAGTCGAGTGAATTAGCTGATTCAGTCATTTCTTGGTTCTTATTCATAATGAAACAAATATAGAAAATTTGTCCTTATAGATCAAAATAGATTAATCACAAAAATGCAGATAATAGATGCGTACAGAAACAAGCAAAAAGGTGATTGAAAAAAGGGGAACTTCGAAGAAGATTTCAAATTTACTTACTTTACTTGAATTCCGAACTTTGCCAAGTTGACCCAGGAAAAATGCGAGGTTAGACCATGGATTCCAAATCTTCTTCAACGGCAAAAACCGCTAGATGCCTGGATTATACGTTTAAAATACTTTGGGATGTAAAAGTAGTTTATTCATGCAAATATACATGTATATATGAATATTATATATA